TCTCTTTTTTTTGTGGAGGATATTACTTATCTGAATGAAGGAAAAGGTGTGTACTTGATGTTATTAGATTTTCCAAAAGCTTTTGATATGGTACTGCAATGAAGATATGAGGGAAGAGAGTCGTATCAATTGGGAAAGGTTTAGATAATTGGATTATAGGGTGGTTGGATGGGAGAAAGCAAAAACAAAAAGTTGTTATTAATGAACAGGACCCTTGGTAGTAGATGAGTGACACAAGGGTTCTTACTTTTTCTAATTTATGTCAGTGATGCTGATAGAGCATGATTAGTAAGTTTGCTGATGGCTTTAAACACTGAATGTTTCTAACTATATTGAGGTAGTACAAAATGACATAGGTCAATTAATAAGGTGGACAAATTCTAATCTTTGTGAGTAAGAATGTAAGAAAAGTGTATTGTGATATGATACCTTACCTCATCTCACATAATAGCTTTTCTCATTAAGTGCTGTACTCTATATGCATAAATTTTTTGCTCCCCAATAGCCTTTATACTCCTATCTACCCCACATTTTAATCACGTGTGCCAGGAGGGTGTGTTGCACTCCTATTGGTGGAGGGTTGTTGCATGCTTATTTATATGTTACAGGTGGGCGTATCAAGGCTAGTAGCGAGTGAAAATTATGTGCATATAAAGGGCAGCACTGAACGAGAAAAGCTATTATGTGAGATGAGATAGGTATCTATTGGAAATGCATTATCAGTTTAGGAAAATTATAAACTTTGATTAACTGTACTCATTACTAGGTTGGTTTTTAGTATTGCTCCAAGAAAGTAGCCTGCTCTGATCAGAAGTTAATATTAATAAAAATAAGTGCAGGGTAACGAATATGTACTACCATAGTTTGGATCACACATTTAATATAGGTTGGAACCAGGAATGTAGAGCTACATGAGCACACTGAAGCATTGCTCCTGTGCCTGAAATTGGAGCTTAGTCATGACACTTCGAAAACTAAAAATATATATTGGAGTTTATGAGATAATCCAAGACACTGATAGGATAAAGGCACTTGATTTCTTTGTGCCATATTCTGAAAATAATGAGATGAGACGACACAAGTTTAAGATTTAGAAACAGATTGGCTAGCCTCCAATTAAGACAGTTTTGTTGTTCTAGCAGGATTATTGAATTATATAATAAATTGCCATCAGCAGTAGTTGAGGTTATCATTTTACAGGAGTTTAAAGGGGAATTGATGATTTCAAGTTGGAGTGTTTTAAATTTTTATCTTCCTCAATGGAGTGTGTGTGTGAAAGGACACAATGTTGTGTTGTCCATGAAGGACCAAATGTTTCATTGTTGTCCATATGTTATATCAGATGGTGAAATATTTTTTTAAAAGTGTATATGTGCACTTGAGATTACAAAAACTGAAATTAATTTCTGTTGATAAATGTATTTATTTAGAAAACAATTATGCACAATGTAGCTGATAATTACTTTTTCTAATAATTATTGATATTAAAGAATACATTTATCTTCTTTAACAGTGGTGTTTATTGGAATGTAATGTGTAGTTAAATAATCATTATAGTTGTTTATGTTCATAAGAATGAAGAATTTATTTTAATTATTGTTACACATTTACAAGTTTGTTGTATATGGCAGCCATATAAAATAATCATTTCCTTCATTATACAGAATAACATTACTATTATAAAAATTATACAAATCAATCCAAACAAAAATTTCATGTTTTGCGTCAGATTTGTAGTGTTTTTCTAATACCTGTGTAAGAATTTCTGCTAAATCGTAGACCTGAAAGCTAGCTGATACAGATTGTAGAACAACATTTTGAAGTAGTTTTTCAATGAAACTAATGTTTTACAGATACTATCTCTGTGATGTCTGGATATAGTGATGTCATTGTCTTGAGACATCCTGAGCATGAGGCTGTTTCCGTATGTAGCTACTTTGATATTTTTGTTAATCCCAACATTGATAAACAAAACGTTTTTTTTAGTTTGAAAGTTCAATTTCACTACAAGAACAAATACAACAGGTGAAGCTAGGAACTTACAGAAATAACTTTAAAATAGTTTGTTTTTATTAACTGAAGTCATTAAAAGTGTAATCATCTTTACAACATGGGTAAAGTTAATATTAATGAGAATAAAATAAAATTTGCTTTAAATCTATACAACCAATAAGTCAATTTTTTAGCACAATCCATAAAGATAATTTGGATACAAAATTAACATGGTGGTAAAAATGGTCATGGCAAGTATGATATCAGGTAAGTGGCATTAGGTTTGGTGGAGAGAGAACATAAAGTATTGAATGGAAATTGTAATGCTGTGGATAAAAAAACACTACAAAGGACAGGAATTTGTAGTGATACCATTTCACTGTTGTCGTGTACTTAATAAAATCTAAACTCTAACCAAACATACAGCTATGTGCAAAAAGCATTTAATATTAGCAATTAAACACTCAAGAGTTTTCTCTAATTGAAATTCATATAAATATAAAACAATTACTTTTCACAACTGACACAAAACAGTTTTCTTAATATTCTTCCAGTTCTTTTCATAATGGATAAGCTTTCAAAACACTAAAAATACTTACATAAAGATTAATACAACAAAACAAGTGTAGTTTTGAAATCATGTTAAATAATGTATAAAGTATACAGTGAATTTAAATCTATGATACAAAAATTACCTTTAATGATTTATATTATTAATTTTTACAGTATTTTTGAGATACTGTAGACAAAGATGAAATGTGTTTCTTCCTTGAATTATATTAAAGTTCAAAATTTTTTTCATAGCGAGCTGCAGCTATGTGTAGAAAGCCAGTGATCAATGCAGGTGATGGAATTGGGGAACATCCTACTCAGGCACTTTTGGACATTTTCACCATAAGAGAAGAAATAGGAACAGTAAATGGATTAATTGTAAGAGCTTTTTACTCATACTAGATTTTTGTGGCATCTGTTCAATCAGTCTGCCTATCTAAAACAAAAATTAATTTAAACTGTTGATTATAATATTTCCAAAACCAACTTTGTTAAAACACACATAAATCTGTACAAAGCAATATTTTCTGCAACACATTATTATTATTATGTTTTTCTCACACAAGATTCATTAAAATGCTGCCATAATTGATAACAACCGCTTCTCTGACTAAACAGCTTCAGTTTTCAAGAAAATACCACACCTATTCACACAGTTAAGCTATCATCCCCACGCATCTACCTTAAAGATTTGAATGCCAATAGCCTTGAGGCAACTTCCACCTCATCTCATGCAATCCAGTATGAATTGTACTACTACATGATAATATAATCATGTGGCAAAGCCCTCCACCAGTGGGAGGGTGACACACTTTCATGTGCACTAACTCCCTCTATGCATTTGTATTCTTGAATCTTCATTCTTTTCCTTGGCACTTTATTGACCAGATGTGTTTTTAAAATTCTTTAGTCTATGTTCAGTTTCATGAGATTTGCATCATTAATGTAAATGATTATTGTTTTCTTTAGTTTTTGTTTTAATATATTTAAATGTTTCCATGAATTCTGAACAAACTTATTTATATTTGGTCCTGAGTGTGTAACATTGTTCACACTTAAGCCTTATCTTATCTGTGGCTTTTGGAGGCTCGTTGCAGCCTTTGTTCAATGTGTTGGGGATTGACACATGCTTAATGGGCCTCTTACTCCTGTCCTGTCTCTAAATTTATTTCTAACAGTCAGGAATGATCTGTTGGACTACCTTCTTCATTTTATTTGCTTTGTGTACTACTTTACCACTTGTGAGATGATCTTAACCTTACAATCTCTTTCTGGATTTTCTTCTGAGGTTTGTTCCCTTTCTTTCATTTTGCTTATGTGTAGCTAGCTTGTGAGCTTAATCATTGGGTTCAACTTTACATTCATTACAAAGAAAGTTATTTGGATTTCAGGTCGTGCTGTCATGAAGGGAGCACACTAGCCACCAACTCGACGAAGTTTATGTGTGGAATGAAGAACTCACACAAGGACAACTGAATACAAATCAAATAACTTGTTTATTTATATACTATTGAACAGGTCATTTATATTGAATTTCTCAAGATTATCTTGAAACAACACTAACTCTCAATCATTGAATTCTTCACTTTAAAAGTCTAGATGTTCATTAATAAGACCTTCTATTATGTTCAATGACATAGACATCATTAGTTAAGTTATCAACTAAACTAATGTGAGAAATTCTTTCAGTCGTAATCTGTGTAACATTAACAATTCTAAGATATCTTTCAGTAGTTCTAATATAAGTGTTATCAAATCTACTATTTCTTTAGTACAGTTAGTATTCTTCACTTTTCTCTCTTTATAAATGATACATTATTGAACCTTAAATGAAACACTGTTACACTAAATCAGAAATACCATAGTTACAAGGAGTTTGTGAGGAAAACTTCTTGTAGATTCTGGATTACTGCCATCTTCTGGAGTCAGATCAAGTCCTCAGAGCAACTTGATAAGTGTGGAGAACTCGATGTGTAGAGTCAGAAACATGGCACAGTTTTTAGCTTTTTTTTCTTATTGTTCAAGAAGTTTAGCATATCTACTTTCAAAAGTAGTTCTTTTAACCCGATTGGTACAAGTGGAATCTTCTAGTAACATGTAGACTATTCCATCAGACTGTAACCAAAATCCACTTTGTTATTGGTCCTTACAGAACATATTTCTGTCCCTTATCTAATACCTTTGGCAAAATCATCTAAGACAATTAACTTAGGGCGTATAGAGACAAACCATGTAACTCCAGTCTCTTCACTAAGAGTATTTCACCCTTGTCTTTTATCGCCATCCCGAAAACTTTTTTTTGTGACATTGATTCATTTTGTCATGTGTTTTATCTAACTATTGGAGTTTTCTCAACATACCATGTCGGTCTAGTACGAGAGTTAGTAGCTGTGAATTCTTGCACCTCTGAGGTCACGATTGGAATGTGTTCCGGGCTAACTCCTGTGATGGGCTTCAAGGCTGTATCTTCCTTATTTGGTATTGTGGTTCACTAGTGTCTGTGTTTTTCTATAATATTTTTATTTTTCGACCTGCTGCCTTCTCCGTGCCTCGTCCCACACATGTTCATGCCTCATTTTGTTGTCATTTGTACACTTGCTTCCTTTCCTTTTCTCAATTCTCTGTCTTTGATATCTATCTGGCCAGCTTGGAATTTGGAATGTAAAGATGAAAAGGAGAAAGATCCTGACAGGTTATATATTTTTTTTCATGTAGAATTTTTCAAAACATTTGCTTATTCTAGGTATTTACAGTTTTGCATGGTCAGAAAGTAATTTGATAGGTTTCATTCCAGCTATCATTGTCATTCACTTGGAGATAACACCTAGTACATCGATTGAAGGTATAGCTGTAAAACTACACCTTGTTCTTGAAGGTCGACAGGTTTCATAAGAATTAGATAAACTCTAGGAAAGTACTACAAACAAAGGACTCAAACTTCACATACAAAATGGAGGACTTGACCTTAACAGAGAGAGAGAGAGAGCTAAGAGATCATAGTATTATACACCAAATCCTAAAACACTATATTCTGATAACATGTGCTTGACTTGTGTCATTGTTGGTCAATCCCATTGAAATATAAGGGAAGTTATAACCTTGAGTCATCATATCCTGTAAGTTTTAAGGGAGTTTAGAAAGAGAGCTATATGTGAAAGATGTGCTTTCCTTATTCTATACATACATTCTATTTATTGTGCTTGTGAGTTTCAATAAAGATTGTTTTATTGTGTTTTGTACTTTTGTGCCCAGTCTCTTTTTTTTCAAATTCAGTTTCAGAGAAATTCTGAATTACTTTATCTTGCAAAACCTTCCACTATATAAGTTACTCCGTTTTTTTGGGGGGGGGAGGTCGGTTTACCTGAAAATACCACAGTCTGTGAAATAAAACTGTCAACTGAAGCTTGCAAAGGTAGGACGACATATTTTACATTTGTCTGAGTTTGTTACACCACTCCACTAAGTTTCATGGTAACTGACTTCACAAGGTGAGATGGTTGATTCTTTAAATGGTCTAGTTATATACCAAAAGATGTATTGTTTATAACGTCTGAATGTTTGATGTTATTCATGGGGGGTAAAAAATCTTACAGATATTTTTATTGTAGCAACAATTTTTTTTTGTAGTCCTACTTGATGTTTACCATTTTGAAGGATCAGATTCAAGGAAAAAAGGCAGTCCCCAAACCCCAGCCAATTTTTGTCAAATTTTCCCATGGCCCACTCACATGCCTGTTTACTATAACAAAGGAGAGACAAGAAGAAGCTTTGTATTAACCACAAAAAACAAGGAACTTTTTGATATTAACTAGGAAAAAAAGGAAAAATCTTTATGGTAACCAAGATAAAACAAGGAGGAACATTTGGCATACCCATACCTTTAGCTATATTTCTCCTAGTTACTAAGCCTCATGTATCAAAAATGAATCTCAGTTTCAAAGTTTTGTAAGGTAAATTAGTATTGTACACCAAACCTCATCCATGTGCAACTTTCTTTAAATGTTAATAATGTTAGGTTTGAACAAATGACAATAACTGAAAAAGAAAATGTTTAGGTGACTTTATTTTTAATTATCTCTAGATAACTTTAGTGGGAGATTTGAAACATGGTCGAACTGTGCATTCTCTGGCGAGGATGTTGACTCATTATAAAGTCACTTTGAGATATGTAAGCCCACCAGGACTGAAGATGCCACAGACCATAGTGAACTATGTAGCTTCGTTTGGAATTATACAAGTATGTATTTTTAATAGTACTTTCAGTTAACAGATATATAAATTAGAACTTTATTTTAAACTCTTTATTTCAGGGTTTTTAGTATATCCATAATACAGGTTAAACTGCTTTTAGTTAAGAAAACATTCCATACACACCTCCTCCATATACAAGAAAAGAAGTGTAATTTTGAAGAACATTGACTATCCCCCTGAACCTTAAGTTGAACCACATCATAGTTTAACTGATTATAATAATTTCTGATATAAAATAGAGTCTAGAAAACTGATGTTTTATTATTCAGATATTGAAAATAGTCAGCAATAACACGAAATATAATGTTACATTTGTTCTGATGTTACTGATAGTTAAAAGACATATGTAGACAGCAATGTTAATTTGAGTGTTACAAAGCACATATGTCTAGTTAACAACAAAATATTAGTTGTTTCTTTGATTAGTTTAAAGTACAGTGCAAGTATTTCAAAAAATTAAGCCTAATTTACTCCTTTGGCAAATTGACTGAAACATTCAAGTTTCTCTTATTAGACAAGTCGTTTTGCCTTGATAGCAGGTAATATACATCAGTTTTATTAATTTTTATGTTTTAGTAATTTTGTGTGGTTAGACTTCTAGCTGAAAAGATTCCATTATTGCAAGACTTAAATTGACTCATTCAGATCTTCCAGTCACATTGGTCACTGCAATAAAAAATGTTATGGTTTGGTGTTCTTTTGAGTTTTTGCCTTTTTTTTATGTACAACAGCATTGAAAACCTCACAAAATGTGATAAACTTTAGAAATATATTATGAAAAAGGTAACGTAAACATCATAAACAAGTGTATGAAAACTTATGTTGAGAAATATAACATAATGTAACCATCACAGACAAGTGTACATCACTTCATATTTAGATATAAAATGTAACATAAACTTTATGAGAGACAGGGATATGTCATTTCATATTTAGGAATAAAACATAATGTAAATTTCATCACAGACAGGTGTATTTGTTGGATATACAAGACTGTTTAGTTTAAGAGTGTTAAAAGTTAATTATTTTAAAAGTGGCAGTTATGACAAGTTTTGTTACATAACTCTGTACGAGTTCTACATTGTGTATGCAGTTTAATTGTTTTAGTAATGTTGTTGATGTCATCTTACTCAAAGCTTCTAAGTTTTCTTGTTGTCACTAGAGGGCTAGATATTTCTAGACTTTTCTGTCACATGTTATAAATACACGTGGATACAGTAAGTTAGTGAAAGTAAGACAATGTTAGTGACAGATATAGATCTAGAATTTGTTTGTAAGTTTAGCCATAAAGAGTGTATCGTGGTGACTTTTAAAGTGTTTGCAGATTGTATTGTAGGAAACAGAGCAGAGAAGAATAATTTGTCTTTTCAGTTTGGTTCTAAGGTAACTGAACCAGCTTCTGTAGACTTTTAACATAAAAGAGAATTAGTTAAAGCTCTGTAAACAACTCTGATAACCCACAGGGTAAGATAAGTGAACTTACT